ATTGTAAAGCTCAGAAATGATGAAAATTAATCTTATTGAGAACACTGACATAACTTTTCAAAAAGATTAGAAACACTAAACTTGTTTACTTTAGGAAGAAGTGGAAAAAACTTCAGAGAAGGTGCTTGTGAGAAGGGTAGTCTTGTGGTTAGGGTAATAGATTCATAGATTGTGAAGTCGGAAGGGACCACAATTGATCATCATGTACGACCCCCTGCCCCTGGCAGGAAAGAGGACTGAGGTTAGATGACCCCAGCCAGGTGACTATCTAGCCTCTTCTTGAAGACCTCCAAGCTAGGTGATAGCACCACCTCTCTTGGAAGCCCATTCCAGATCCTGGCCACCCTTACTGTGAAAAATTTCTTCCTAATATCTAACCTAAATCCACTCTCAACTAATTTACACCCGTTATTCCTAGTCACTCCCTGAGGCGCCTTAGCAAACAGCACTTCCCCTATTCCCTGTTGACCTCCCCTAATAAATGTATAGGCAGCCACAAGATCTCCCCTCAGTCATCTCTTGTGAAGGCTGAAGAGATTCAGCTCTCTCAACCTCCCCCCGTAGGGTCTATCATGAAGGCCACTAATCATGCGAGTGGCCCTCCTCTGGACCTTCTCGAGATTCCCCACGTCCCTCTTGAAGTGTGGTGCCCAAAACTGGGCACAGTACTCCAACTGCAGCCTGACCAGTGCCGCATAGAGGGGGAGCATTACCTCCTTTGATCTATTAGTCATGCACCTGCTAATGCACAACAAGGTGCGATTGGCTTTGTTGATGGCCTCGTTACACTGCCAGCTCATGTTCATCTTGGAGTCAGTTGACTCCAAGATCCCTCTCTCCCTCTGAGCTGCTGAGAATACTCCCCAACCTATAGGTGTGCTGAGGGTTCCTCCTTCCCAGGTGGAGTACCTTACATTAATCTTTATTAAATTGCATCCTATTTCTCTCTGCCCATTGATCCAACCTGTTCAGGTCGGCCTGAATCTGCTCCTTGCCCTCCGGTGTACTAACTTTGCCCCATAACTTGGTATCACCAGCGAACTTGGAGAGGGTGCTCTCCATGCCCTCGTCCAAATCGCTGATGAAGATATTAAATAACATCGGTCCAAGGACCAAACCCTGCAGGACCCCACTGCCTACCTCCCTCCAGGCCGAGAAGGAACCATCCACCACAACTCTCTGGGTGCAGTCCCTAAACCAGATGGCCACCCACCTGACCGTGTAGGCGTCCACTCCACAGTCTGCTAGCTTCTCAATGAGGATAGGGTGCAAAACTGTGTTGAAGGCCTTCCTAAAGTCCAGGAAGACATCAGCCTTGGCTCCCGCCTCCTTTCTTCTCTAATGTTTAACTTAAAGTCCTAGTCCAATCAGATTTTCTGCGTGCCCTTGAAAGAGGCATTTAAAATATAAAAACGTATTTCCCCAGTTTTCAACCTGCAGAATGGTAATAATACTTCCTCCCAAAAGAGAAAGTTTATCACAATGAAAGAGGCCGAGTTTTGAGAAAAGAACCACTGCCACTCTCGTGATCTGGTGCCCGATATACATATTTGTTCATTCAATTTATGTGCTACACTTCTTAAAGATATAATATTATTATTCTCAGTTCATCTCTGCCTACAGGCTACCAGAATACAAAACAATCCATACAGCATCCCATAATATTTACAGGCACTTGTATTATTTTTTCTTAAAAACATGAGTAAGGTAGCATAAATAATTATGCTGAGTAAAAGCAAACTGAAACAGTATTAAATATTATTCTAAATGGGATATAAAAACAACCCAAGGGATTCAACACTTTGTGCTATTATTAAATTAACTAGCTTTTCAAAGAAATTAGCTTTTTTGGGCCTGAGCAGGAAGCTATTAAAAATCAATGGGTCTGATTTCAGCAGGCTTTGGACCTGGACCTCAGTAACTGAGAAAAATAAGTCATTTACATTTTGTGCTACCTTTTATCCAGAAGGATAGCAAGATGCTTTACAAACCTCACATAATATTTATAAACATTTTAGTGAAGTGTAAAGTGAGTCTAATACTCATAGAAGCAAAATGTACTAATTATTTAGTACAGAGGTATAGCAAGCTCCTTCAGTGCCCAGGGCAAACTGGAGGGTGGGGAGCAGGGGGCGGAGTTAAGGGTCCCAGCAGCTGCGGAGAGAGAGAAGCCAACAAGGAGTGGGGTGGGGGTGGCTTTAAGGTTTTGGCAGTTATCATGGAAGGTGCCACTCCAGTGAAGTCATTACATCTTTTGTCTACTCCCATGTAGGCACTACCAAATGTCATGCTGAGCAAGGAAATTAAAAAAAACACCTCATAGAATCAAGACTCTGCACTTGATCAACACGCAAAGAGCTGACAATGGCTACAATATAAGCAACAGGCCAAAAAAATGGGACCAAGCACTGTATTATGCAGTTAGGTAAATTATCCAGTTAAGTGAATTACCCAGTTTGCATATAAATGGATTATACTGGAAAACACTATACTATGCATGAAAGAAAAATAAAGAAACTGATTTTTAGTTCATGCTTCTAATGCTTTAGAAATTCAGATATTTTGTGTCATTTGTAGTGGCAATGCAAAATATCAGTTTTGGGGCAGAGATGTAGGAAAATAAGTTTCTGGTGGCATAACAAACGTGCACATTGATAATGCAGAAAAACACCAGGTGAGGTTTCCATGTCATGGGTCCAGACTGAAGGACCAATCAACTGCCAAAAAAAACAATTCAGGTAGCAAGTTAGAAAATAATAAAGCTGGAAGTTCCATGTTCAAAACCAATCTTTTCTGTTTGGAAAATGTCTTTCTGCAGAGACCTCATTTATCAAAGGACAAATGTATTTGAGAGACTCCAAAAGCATTTGACTTTTAGCTTTATGCATCTTTTAAGCAGTTTTCACCTGATGAAACTACACCTGCTCTTTTAGTAATGCAGGGGTGCTTGATCATTTGACTCTGAAGCCAAATAAGTACTATGGAGCTGGTCCATGGGCCAGATTGGACCATGCGTTCCAGGTGCAGACCCACATTGCCCTGTATGCCTGGATCAGGCTCTGCGCAGCCTTGGCTGGTCCCTGCATGCTGGGATCAGGCCTTGGGGGCCCGCACACTGCAATCAGGCCCCATGCATTTCAGCACGTCAAGACCAGGCCCTGGATAGTCTTGTTTTGACCCCCACAAGCTGGACCCTGTGCCAGGATCAATCCCTGGAGCCCCACATGCTGGGATCAAGCCCCATACTGCCATCCATTCCAGCATGCCCATAGTGGGTCCACTGTGGCCTCTGCTTGTCTCCTACAAGCAAATGAAGTAGGTCCCTAATTATATACAGGTATAAGTAGGGACAAATGGAATTCACATAGGAAATATGCTGTGCACTGGCTCCTTTAATCTTGCAGTTTACCCTGCCTGCTAGGGCTGAGCCTTCTGTGCTGGCATCGGGCCTCCTGACACAATCTATTGCACTGTGCCCAATCCCTAGGGCCCTACGCACGCAGACTGGGCCCCACACAGCCCTCACCCTTCTGTAAGGAGTGACCTAGAAACCACTACTCAAAGATGAAGCAGAAGCAGGGTACTGGGTTAAAGGGCTCATTTAAATACTAAAAATCACGCCCCTAGGTGGGGAAGAAGTATGCTAATGAAACACACATGTATGTAAATGAGATACATGGCTAAAACACAGGTACAGAGACATGCTCAGTAAAGAACTCCTTGCGTCACTCCTTTATAACCAATCAGCAAACAAGGATGCTTATGAAGGCTCAAAAACTCCTGTATAAAAGATGCTTAGAAATAGTAATCTGGTGTGCTTGTTACGTGAAATTATTCCGCTCGCACCTTTTATTGCTAGCAATAAACCTTCTTTGTACTTTTACCCCTGGTATCTTTATTGGCCTTTGCATACCGGGCACGATCCCAGACTTGAGCTGGGGCACAACACTTCCACCATACCCTGTGTGGCCTCGGTTTGACCCCCAGGTGCTGGAATCAGTCCCCGAAACCCCACTAGGCCCTGCACAGATCAGCCTGGGCCACACAATCCTGGGATATGGGCCCTGTGTCCTCCAAGTCAGCCCAGGGGCTGAAATTTGGCATCTCCCCACCCCACAGTGGGGCTAAAATCTGGCAGCCCCCTCCCCACCTCCACTGCCAAGTTTCCAGAGGTGTGAGGAGAAGCCCCACCACCACCGCTGCCTGCCGGGGCTCCAGCACATTTGCCCGAGCACAGCTTCGCAGCCCCCCAGGCAAGATTCTGTCATGTGAAGGCAATATAAAAAATATATCCATTTTGGGGCAGAGATGTAGAAGAAAGAGGTTCTGTCAGCATTGCAAACAAGAAAAAAAAAAAACACAGGGGGAGGTGACCATGCAGGGCCCAGACTGAAGGCCCTATCAACAGTCAAGGAACCCAATCCAGTGGCAAAAACGGTACCAACTATTGCCTGCACAAGCGACACGGGGCAGCCCCGGCCCGCCTCACCGGTGATGCTCGTTGGTGAAGGAGTAGAAGTGCTTGTCGGGGCTGGCCATAAGGTCGCGCAGGCGCTTGTAGACCGGGGCGCTGCGGGCGCGCACCTCCTGCAGCACAGTCTGCAGCAGCACCACGTTGCGGATCGCCGCATCTTCCACGATGTCGATCTGCGGTGGGGGAGAGGACAGGATGGGGCGGGTCAGGACGCGGCCCTCACCGCCCCGCCCCGGGGAGG